CTTTGACATGAGTGCTCTCCCATGCTGACAATAAGCTTAGAACCTTTAGTGAGAGAGCTGGCAACTATTTCATTGTAAAGAGATTTAAGTTGCTCTAAGTGGTCAGGCTCAATGAAGCACATATCTGAGTTGCATTTCCACTGTTTCTTTGGAGAACTATGAGCTGTGCTGGGCTCATTACCAACAGTTATTTGTTTACCAGGAAACACTCTATACGTAAACTCCCACAAATAAGGCTCCGACGTGGAAACATGAAGACTGTGCCCACACAACGCCTCAACATTGTCTTCAAACGTGCTTGTTGCAGATAGCTTAGCAAGAGACTCTTTAGCACGATTTTGCAGGCTAACAAATAGCTTAAGGAAATTGTTTTTGTAATTTTTATAAGCATGCAACACCCATTTCAAGAGCTCTTTAGCCCTTAGCAACCTTTTGGTATAACCTTGCTCAAGTATTTTCTTTGCTATAAGTCTGGCTATTTTCTCACAATTTATTTTCCCCAAGAAAATATGTGAAGCTGCAACAGTTTTTTTAATTTTCCTTTTTGCATTTTGTAATGATTTTCTTTTCCCATCAGATCTATTTCTAAAATAAAAGCGTCTGCTTTGATAGGCTGCACACTTTCGCACCCTTTCGTGAAAAACCTTAAGTTTATATCGCAAGCGAAAGTGGCCAGGGTGTTTTGCACAAAGTACTTTGTAACGTCTCCTGCGATTAGATTGTTTCATTTCTTGTTTTGCACCGTAGTTTAAACGTTGTTTAGCTTTATAATATTCTGGATCAGTAGAGTATTTCTGACGCACTCTAGCCTTGTGTGGCTCAGGATCAGTAGAATACTGCTGACGCTTCCTAGTCTTGTGTGGCTCAGGATCAGTAGAATACTGCTGACGCTTCCTAGCCTTGTGTGGCTCAGGATCAGTAGAATACTGCTGACGCACTCTAGTCTTGTGTGGCTCAGGATCAGTAGAATACTGCTGACGCTTCCTAGCCTTGTGTGGCTCAGGATTAGCAGAATATTGCTGCCGCAACCTAGCTCTGTGAGGTTCAGGATTAGCACTGTACTGCACACTTTTTCTTAACCTCTCAGTTTCAATATTAGCTAGATAACGTTTTCTGGCTTTGGATTTTTCTCCTTTAACATGTTCAAGGTACCAAGCTTTAGAAGTAGAACTCTTATTAGTGGATTGTATGCTAGCTTCTTCTGTTTTTCTTTTTTTTATAGCAGGGGCGTTTTCTAAATACCATTCTTGTTTTCTTTTTCTTGCCAGTCTTTCTTTAGAAGGCATACTGATGTTAGATTAGAAAGAAAGTAAATGCAATTAAAACATGGACGTGGTATCTTACCAAATGATCCTAAGAAATGTTCTCAATCATCTCAATGTTCTTGAACTAGATCTCTTCACTAAACATAAACAATGCTGCTCTTTTTGTAAAAATAAACAAGACATCAAATTTTTTTTATTTACAGCTGGTAATTAAAAATGGTTATAAATAGTTTGGGTGAAATATATAGACCACGGCACAACTACATCTCATTTCATTTCAATAATATTGTTTGTGTAGAACTAAATTCTACATTTTTTGGTCTTATCTGCTATAAACCAATTAAAAACTTTTTGACACACCTACCAAAATTACTATTTAACAAAAATTGCTACGTTGGAAGTTTTTGAAAACATGTGTTAAACGTATAGTCAACAGGGTGGTTGTTTCTATTTATGATTTTGTCAAGAATATGTTTATTTTAAACTAAACACACACTTTGAAACTGTATAATCTAGTCATCATCCATTAATATAGGTTCTGTGTCTGGGGCTGTAAATTCAGCAATGTTCATCTTGAACAACATAAAATGCGTTGGTGTTACATAAGTGTTCTGATAATTAAACCCGTATATCTAAAGACTAGTGTAAATTGAGCCCTTATTATAGAAGTAAAAATGTAATCAAACAGTTTAGGTTTGTTGGAAATAGCATAAGGCAAAACGAATATTGAAAAACTAATTAATCCTATATTTACATTTTAATTGCTGGTTTAACATACGTAAAGTGACTTTCCCGATTCTTTTATTTGTTTTAGTGTATCAAAACATAAAACAAACCTTAGTACTAGTACTAAGTTTCAAGTTACTAGGTTTCATATGTTTTGATAAGTAGTATTAAACTGTTAAAAATGACGAACTGCTGTACCAGTGTACCATCGGTACACTGCATTTTTCAATGGAAAGTATCGGGGAATATCACTGCTCTAAGTAATTTTATATAGTAAGTAGTTCAAATCATTCGGTATACCTGAAAAAATACTTTATGAAAGTTTTAAAATAATTTTTCAGCTGTTCCTATGAATTTCTCTAACATTTAAATTAATTGAGATTTAATCGCAGCTGGTCCTTCTTTTGTTTTGATTTTAATCCCATGTTATTTAAATGGGCCAAAATCGTACTTTGAGGGCTTGCCAAGGGTTTATGGTTCAACTCACCGACTTGAGACCCTCAAAAGGCACATCTACACCTTAAGGGCTTTCAAACAACATAAAGAACATTAAAATTGAGCCAGTGGTTTGGGCTGTAGGTCCGTCAACATTCAAGGAGAAGGAGAAGGAGGAGAAGGAGAACACGGAAAATTTGTGAATTTTCAAACTAGTTTTTCTTGGCTCAAACACAACAGTTTTTTAAATTCTTTTTTTTATTTTGTTGAGGATGAGTGCCCCTATCCAATAGATGAACAATTATTTTAATAGCTTTTGTTTCTTCAGAGCTATAGACGAGTGAAAAAGCCACTTTGTCACGTCAAGTATATATACACTGCAGCAGCTGTGTACCGCTGGGGGACTTGGCGGGGCGGAACGCTGCCGCGTTCCTTAATTCATCAGATGTTTTTGTTTACATTTGCAATTAGTGTTTTCTTTTTGATTTATTGTTAGAGTTAGTCTTGAATAGTTATGTCTGATTAAAATTGAAGTTTTTTTTACTATGTTTTCTTGAGTTTATTAAAGTATATTCCTCTTACAAGAGTCAGTCTCGCGCTTTAACATTGCCAATTAGCTACCCATGTGGTTTTTCTTTATTATAGGTTCATTCCCACTAAAAACAGGGCCAGATTCCAGATAAAATAAACCTCCTGTTTTACTGTTGTTTGTTTATCAGTGATGGACAATGTTTGCAGTAAGAAAGAAAAGAAATGTGATTGTTGCGAAATGCGGTTTTGTAACAGTAATCCTTTAAAAAACAACTATAATTCAACATCTTCATTAATAGAACTTTAAAGAAAGGGTCTAGCTTTTTTTCTTTCATTAATTTTTTGTTTGGGAAAGTATTGATGGGTACAAAAAGTAAATACTAGATATGTTAAATTTAAGGGTTAAATGATGATAAAGTAAATGATAAAAATCAATAGTTGTATGAATTAAAAGTTGTATTCCAAAACAATGTAAAAACTGAACTGTTTACAAATAAAAAATTAATAATAATAAAACCAACATATGTTAAATATTGGGTCGCCGGAATTTTATCCCCCTGGAATTTTACCCCCTGGGCAAAGCTGACGTCACTATGACGTAGTAACCTGAGTGGCCAAAAGTTTGTTCGCGGCCGGAATTTTACCCCCGCGGATTTGGAAGTCTAATGAAAATAGTCAGAGCGGGATTAATTAGATTAGCGATAAAAATCGGAATTTTATCCCCTGTCCATATAACTAGCGTTTAGGCAACTGAAGATGTACGGGCCGGATTTTTACTCCCGGAATTTTACCCCCCGGAATTTTACCCCCCGGAATTTCACCCCCCGGAATTTTACCCCCTGGCTGATTTTAGAAATTGAATGATTGATTTTCTTATTTCTGTTTTTAATTAATTGTAAACATTTCATTATTTAGTAGCCTATCTTTATTTATTTATTTTGCAATCTCAACCAAGTAAACAGAATTGGCTGTTTTATTTTGATCATATTAACCAACAGTTGGCTTCAAAGATCGAATCCTGACACTCGAATCTCAAAATTAATATTAAAACCCTGTTCGATTAGTTAATGTTATATATAAATTAAGATAGGCTACTTAATAATAAAATGTTTACCATTAAATTAAAACTGAATGACGATAATTAATCATTCTCACTAATTTATATCTGGCCAGGGGGTAAAATTCCGGGGGGTAAAATTCCGTGGGTAAAATTCCGGGGGTAAAAATCCGGGGGGGTAAAATTCCGGGGATAAAGTTCCGGGCCGTACATTCTAGGTTTTTATAATTTGATGTGTTCTGATTAAACTCACAACCGTGAAAATATATGTTTAATTCCGCGTTTAATCCATCGAGCTGATGTCGCGAAACTCAAAAGTTCGCGGCCGGAATTTTACCCCCTGGTTTGTGACGTCACGTTTGCCCAGGGGGTAAAATTCCAGGGGGATAAAAATCCGCTACCCCTAAATATTTAGTTAAAACAACTGTCTTTTAATATGGTGGTAAATACCACAAGGAAGAGTAGACACTACACACTCCCCCCCCTAGAATGAGTCCCTCACTTTAAGTGAGGAATTATTTACCACACGAACAAATCTCGATCTTTGCGGTTTGCCTGCTGTGGGAATCGACTTATTTTTATTGTTTGATTGTCTTGTGATTTTTTTTTCTTCTTTGCCTTTTCCGGGAATGTAGTCGTCAAGAAGAAACGCTGGTTTCAAACGGTCAGTTGAAACTTTTGTTTTTTTTCCGTTCACTTCAATTTCAAAACAATGTAAAAACTGAACTGTTTACAAATCAAAAATTAATAATAATAAAACCAACATATGTTAAATATTTAGTTAAAACAACTGTCTTTTAATATGGTGGTAAATACCACAAGGAAGAGTAGACACTACAATGAAATGGTTTAAAATCTGGTAATTTTTTTCTGACAGTAGCCTATTAAAACAATCCATATTATATTTCATAAATATTGCACAACTTGAAGTTTTTATGATTATACTCATATAGGGTAGTAGCCTATATTGTATAATAATTTTTCAGGAGCAACAGTTCTTTCGTCAAATGCTGCTGGAGTTACCGGTGTTGCAACAAGATCCAGCCAACCCTGTTGGTAAGCATACAACTTTATACCTCCTTTAGTAATTAATGTTAGGATTACTGTATGAACTTAAGAGTGTTATATCTATATGTGTTGTGAGAAACTTAAAATGTACCATATAATGATTTACAAGCATTACCTAGGAGTGGACCTTGGATCATGGCTTGGAGTGTTATCATCTAATTTTCCCCATAGTTGTTAAAATCATCCAAACTTCTGGTCAGAAAAGGATCAGAATGTTTACATTTGTAGTTGACAGGGCCGATTTACCGAATAGGCAAGATAGGCATGTGCCTAGGGCGCAAGGCAATTGGCTTTTTTGGGGGGCGCCAAAAAATGGGTAAAAATAAAAAAAATGTGGCCGTTTTTGCATGCAATCGCAGTAAACTGATAATCCCTTGCGGCCGTGTACACAGCTTAACAGTCTCCCATAATTGCGGCAAGATGTTAATTATTCCTGCGGTTGTATATACGTCATCATCGTCTGTCTCCCGCGATCCCGGCAAAATCCTGACTATTTGGTAATCATCTCCCGCGGTCGTTTGGAGATCATCATCGTCTTTCGCGAATGAGGCAAAATTCTGCCGTGGTTGAGTGGACATTATCATCGTCTAACGTGATTGCGGTAAAATTCTGATCATACCTCGCAGCCGTGAAGAGTAGACATCATTATTGTAACTCCCGCGATCCTGTAGTCATAGTAATAGTTTACCATGGTCGTGAAGACATTTTAATCGTCTCCCACGGTCGTGAAGACATCGTAATCGTCTACCGCGGTCGTGAAGAGATCGTAATCGTCTCCGGCGGTCGTGAAGACATCGTAATCATTTACCGCGGTCGTGAAGACATTGTAATCGTCTCCCGCAATCATGTAGAAATCATTATCGTCTTCTGCGATCGTGGCAAATTTCTGACTGTTTTCCGCGGTTTTGTGGACATTATCTTCGTCTTCTGTGATTGCGGCAATATTCTGATCATCCTTCGCTGGTCTGTAGATCTTATCATCGTCTCGCACGATCGCGGTAAAATCATGATCATATCCCGCGGTCGTTTAGACATTATCATCGTCTTGCACGATCGCGGTAAAATCATGATCATATCCCGTGGTCGTTCAGACATTATCATCGTCTCTTGCGATCGATGCAATATTCTGATCATCCTTCACGGCTCTGTAAATCTCATTATTGTATTGCACGATTGCGGTAAAATCATTATCATCTTTCGCGGCCTTGTGGAGACATATTATTGTCTCCCGTGGTCACGGAAACGTCACTGTTGTCATGCGTCATCGCTGTAAATTGATAAATTCTAGGTAGAAATACAAAATTCACACATAATTCCCGGTTCAAACAAATTAACGCTTAGTTCCCGGATTTCCTGGTTGGTGGTCACCCTGTTATAGGTATATTGCAAAGGGGCGCTACTATTTTAGTTGTGCCTAGGGCGCTGATATGATCAAAAACGGGCCTGGTAGTTGAAGCCATTATTTTCATCTCACATTATACCCAAAAGCTCTAAAGACTCATTCCAAGACTCATCAATAGTATGGAAATTCATAATTATTATACCCAGTATTATTGTGGTTTTATTTTGATAAATAATGTTGTTAAGTTATTTGTTGAATAATATTTACTCTGGTTTGTCGTTAGGCAATGAAGAGAAATCAACCTGTGAAAAAACCCTTCTGAATCCCCCAGTCGGAGGTCCGCAGGGAAATTCCTGTAGCTTGGAGAAATCTCTCGGACTTGCCATGCAGTCTTTAGCCACGCTGGGTCCGATATCAGGTTAGCTGTTTTATCATTCAATCATTTGATTTGTTATAATTTTACCACACTGAAAAACAAATTGAAAAAAAAAGTTTAAAGTTAACAAATTTTAAGGTAAGAATTCTTATATATCAGTTTTTTGAACGAGGTTATTTAAAGTATTAACTATTGTAATGTGTTAAAAAACAGCACTTCAAAATTATTTAATTATAATTTTTTTCAGCCAACGCGCAAAGTAACCTGAACCTGCAGCCCGGAACAGGCTTATTGCAGCAAAACCGGCTTTTCGCAACTCCTGTCTCTCCACTAAGCATTTAATTTTAGTAAATTTCTCATATAGGGTATTTTTTTGTTTAAGTATGTCTGTATTATGTTTCTGTTTCTCCTGTCCAGGAGGTAATTTGATAAACTATAAGTATACCCTTGATTGTTATACAATTAGATAATCTATCATCAGAGAACACATTAAAACTAATAGTCTTAAATAGGCCCTAATTAAGGAATTCAATTGGCAGGTATGTTTATATTGTATGCATTGGCCAGCTAATGTATTAGCTACTTTTTTGTGTTTAAAGTTTAAACCCTGGTCTTGTTAGTATTATGTCAACCTTTCCTTAGAGAACATTATTAGTAGCCTAATGACAAATGTTGCCAGTGTCTAATTTTGATCATGTTTTGGATTGACCAACAGCCTTCAGATTTGAGCAAGAACACTACAACCACCAGAGACGGAACCAGGACTGGGGGGCACACTTAAATGTTTACATATTAAGTATACAAATCTTTACCATTGGTAATAGATATACCAATGAAAATGAGTGAACTTTATAAGGGTTTAAAATCAAACCCATTTTTGAAGTTGGGTTCGGTATATTGCTATTTGTAAAAACCTGAATTTGTGAAAAACATTTTGCTCTATTGGTTGACGACAATAATGATGTCCCCGCGATCGTGCGGGACGTGAAAGGAGACTTGAAGATTTTGCCGAAATCGCGAAATACAATGATGGTATCTTTGCAAATTGGAATCGTGGTAGGTGTTCAGGGTATTGTCCGAATCGCAGGAAACGATAACGAGTCTTGGTTTTCACGGGGATGTTCAAGATATTTCCAAAATCGTGGTAGACGATGATAATGTCTTGGCACCTACAGAGTTGTTCAGAATTTTGTTGCTATCGCAAAAGACGATGATGTCTTGGTGTTAACGGTAGATGCTCTCAAATCTGCCATGATAAGATTATGCTAGGTATAGCCGGGTTGTTCCCGCCATCGTAGGAGAGATGCATTATCTACATGATTGGGGGAGATGTTGAAGACAATTTTAAGGTTAAATCCTACTGGTTTGTAGAGGCAAATGTATTGATTATCCGTTTATTTTTAACCGTTTTTAAACTTTTAACCAAAAAAACTATCTATTAGAAAACCAATAAATTGCCCTAAAAATAAATTGAGAAAAAATAATTAGTCAACACTCTCAAACCTCACAAATAAGAAACCCTTGACTATAAATATTGGGTATAAACTCAAAACGAGCTTCAAAATTTACAATAGAATGAAAAGATTACATACATACAACTTAAAGTTAATGCCAGACCCACTGATTATACAACTAAACTTTAAGACAGGTAATGTAATAAAGCTTAGAATATCAGTTTACGGTCACACCGGATTCAATCTAGCTATTACGTGTTAGGCCCGTTCGATAGTTAAACATTTTTGATGTCCGAGGGGGGAGCGCCCCCGGCTGGATCCGCCACTGACAACCACTTGGTTTCCCAGTCTCGTCTTTTCAATTAAATGTTCTTAATTTACCTTGTTTCTAATAGATTGCAGTACCTCAATGTTTATATAAGAACTAATTTGAACTAAATGTCTAGATGAGAATCCACTGCCTGGACAATCCGCCTCTTCTCTGCAAGGAGGACCAGTCCGTGAAGGATTGGGTGACATCTTGCCAACTGAACAAAAAGGGATGAGGTAAAAAAGATTTCTTACTGTTGTTTATTTTCTAACCTATCTCACAGATGGTCATGGTTGGAATAAACCATTTCAATTTTAAAAGTTGCCCACCTAAAAGCTGAAGATAAAAAATGAACTTGGGCGAATTGCGCCGCTAAATGTGTGGACTGATACCAATTACAGATTTCTGTCGAGTGCCCAGGACCTGCTATGCATTTAAATGCCCCTCGGTCTAATATTATTGTTTCCACCCCTGGTTGAAGTTACATTCCTATAGACCTTTATTAAAAAATTATTTCAGGCATTAACTTTTTTTAGGAATTATCTTGGTTTTATAAATTTTTTATCTTTATTTATGAATTCAATTTTTATAAAATAGTAAGCTCATGTTTGTGGGACTGAAACAAAACAATGAATAAATGAATTTATTTCCCATAATACAAAACACTTTACAAACATAATAATTGTTGAGAAATGTAAACTGGTCACTTTTTCAAGTAGTGTGGCCAGTTAAAAGGTTAATCATACATAATAAATAATAAATTGTTGAGCCTAGCATCAGATGACAAATATTTTATCCGCCTGCTGTAACATCTGGGCAAAACTTAGACTAAGAAAGTGTTAACAAAATACACATAAAATAAGGTAACAGTAACACAATCTTATACCAAAGAGTTGGCAAGATAACCTACATCCTGTTGAGAACCAAGCCAAGTGATTGTTCTTTTACAAAAGTGTTTGAAATTTGTTGTATTTTTAATATGAAGCGGAAGCTGATTGTAAAATTTTGGACCTAAGTATTGAAATGAATGTCTGAAAAAAGTTTTGTTTACTTTGGGTAATTTGATAGATTTATTTGCAAAACTTCTTGTACTGTAAGGATGATTTGGAATTATATTTTCTCTGTTTCCGCTCCGGATGAAGAACAATCTCAGGACTTTAAAAATAAAAAGATGTTGAACTGGTAGAATGCATAACTGTTGGTATAATGGAAAAGAGCTAGTTCGTTTAGGTTTTTTGAGAATTATTCGCAAGAAAAAATTTTGAGTTGTTCTAATCTTCTCTAATAATGTTTTGTAAGTACCTCCCCAGCAAGGCAAGGCATATTGTAATCTTGAATTTATCAATGCAAAATAAAGTGTTCGTAAAAGTGAAGTGTTACAAAAATTTCGTAGAAAATAGAATTTTCTAATTTGTGATCTTAATTTTGAGTGTAGTTCTAAAATATGGTGTTCAAAAGTTAGTTTTTCATCAAGCAAAACTCCCAAGTATTTAATCGATTTAACTTTTTCTAACAATCCAACCTGCAGAAGAGCCCTCTTGCAAAAAAAGCATGATCCGAGACTACCTGTCACTCGAGGTACTCTAATCAAAATGTAATTTATACTACCGGTATATCAATAAAAGTCATTAATTGATAGCTAGGTCTTACCTTAGCAATCCTATTTTGTAGATCCAAAATTAATTCCGGACCTGAAGGTCCATCATCAGTCTATGGAAACCCCCCAACTTGGAGGGGGGCATAACATTTTTAAAAACAATTTGTTGAAATTGGCGTTTTTATGCTATTTTGAGACATTAATATAACAGACCTAGCTTGATAATCCAGAGTTTAAAGTATTAGTTTATAAAGTGGCTTTATGTCCGTCAATGGGGTCAGGTCAGGTTGCTTAGCTGTAAAAAACACATTTAACTGTATTTTTGTATCCATGCCAACTTTTCATTCATTTATAACACCCGAAATGTGTGGTAAACTATTTTGGATAATTTCAACCCAAATAATAATGCCTATGATAAACAGCAAAATTCCAAGGTTATCAGAAGTTTCAGTTTACATAATACAAGCTTATTCAAATCAACTTTAAGCAGCATAAACTGGGATGTGAAGTTAGAGGGCAATTTTAATGATTTTAACAAGTTTTTCTCCACCTTCAAGAATGCTATGGATGTCTGCTTTCCTGAGAAAACTATTACACCAACAGATCTTAGTAAAAAATCCAAAGCTAAATGGTTCAGTCGTGAATTATCTGAGAAACGTAAGGAAGTAACAAAGTTATATGACTTCTGGCAGTGGGCCCAGAGGTATAATGTGCTGGTTGAAGAGACAAAGCTAAGGTACAAAAAAGCTAAAACCAGCTACAAAAAAGCTCTTGCTCATGCTAAACTAGAATCAAATGCTGATTCGATTGCTTCTGCATCCAATCCATGCAAAAGGGCCTGGGAGCTCATTAACAAGTGTAAAAGCAGAGTGATCTCGCCAACTATTGACTCGCTTACACCACAGATTTTCTCTGACTTCTTCGTTGCCTCTATAGATGACATCCGTCACCAAGTTCCACCTTCAGTAGCTGTAGCATCCCAGCTCGCCTTGAAACCTTCTGTCTTTGAGCCAGCTTTGTTTAGGATGAGGCCTGTGTCAAGTGAGGAAGTGGTGAAAATAGTTCATGGTATGAAAAGTAGCAAGTGTCGTGATATCTATCAAATTAGCTGTGATCTAATTAAAAGTGTGCTTCCCGAAATCTTGCAGCCCCTAACATCTTGTATAAATCTTTGTTTACTTTCTGGAAATTTTCCTGAGTGTCTCAAATTTTCAAAAGTAGTTCCAGTTTTTAAGAAAGGTGATTTGTCAAATCCAGAGAGCTATAGACCGATCTCTGTCGTACCAATCTTTTCCAAAATTTTAGAAAAAGCTATGATACACCAAGTGAATTGTTTTTTTGAATCTAATAACTTGTTTTCTAAATTCCAATTCGGCTTCAGAGGTGGTTTGTCAACTGTGGATGCAGTCGGAAGCCTGGTCTCTGCTGCTTTAACAGGTTTTGAAAAGCATGCGGACACACTTGCAACCATGTGTGATCTTTCAAAGGCATTTGACTGTGTTCCGCATGACATTCTTCTTGCTAAATTGGAATATTATGGTATCAGAGGTGTTGAGCTAAAACTTTTTCGCCAGTATTTGACCAACCGCTCGCAGAGAGTTTGTTACAAAAATAGTCTCTCTGATGCAGAGGTGATGAAAAGTGGTGTACCCCAGGGGTCGGTCCTTGGCCCTTTCCTGTTCTTGGTTTTGATTAATGACTTACCATCCTATGTTCCTACACCCTGTAAGTCAATAATTTTTGCTGACGACTCAACTTTTTTTTGTAATGATGTCAACATTGAAACTATTAAGGGTCAGATGGAAAATTGCATTTCTGAATGTAATATATGGTTTAAAAGTAATGGTTTGTTGTTAAATAGTAGCAAAACCCAGTCTATTTTGTTTAGCTTAAGAAACAGGAATCTTAGCTTATCTTATGTGAATGAGAATGTAAAACTGTTAGGAATACATTTAGACTCAAAACTCAATTGGAATTCCCACATAAATAATGTTACAAGTAGACTATCAAGAGTAGTTCATCTTCTTCGAAAACTAAAAACTTGTATACCAAAATCCTACTTGAGAATGGCTTACTTTGCTTTTTTCAATAGCATTATAAGCTATGGTATACTACTTTGGGGCTGTGGCCATGGCATGAAAAGAGTCTTGACAAAGCAAAAGGAAGCTATTAGAATAATTACAGGTTCTAGTTACCATGCACATTGTAAACCACTTTTTGTCCGAGAAAAAATTTTAACTGTTTATAGCTTGTTTATTTTTAAGTGTTTGTTACATGTAAAAGCAAATCTAGGTTCCATAGCTTTAAGAGGTGAAACTCATGTCCATTTAACCAGGAGGAGACAGTACTTAGATTTACCTCAGGCAAGGCTTGCGAAAACACAAGAATCCTTTTCTTATCTTGGTATTAAATTGTTTAACAGGCTACCTCTTGAGTCACACCATGTTAGCATGAAGTCCTTTAAATCTAGTCTAATGGCCTGGCTGCTTGAAAACCCGTTTTATAGCTTGGAAGAATATTTTAAATGTTCCAGAATTAATTTAAGTTTTAGTAATTAATTATTGACATTGACTAGTCTTGCTCTGTTATGTTTACACCTTGTTACCTTGTTTATAGTTATATAGATGGCATTGTTGATCTTTAGATATATATATATATTCACTCTTGTTAATTTATTAGTCTTAGTATCTTGACGTCAACTGTACAAGTGTGCAATCTTGTTTCTTGTTGAAATAAATCTTTGAATCTTTGAAGAATGCCTGATAACTTATGCTGTAGAGTAGTTTTGTTTGTTACATTATTGTTAAAGGCAAATGAAAACAAAATAATGTCACAAAAAATATGTTTCAATTAATCTATAAGTATAAAAGATGATGTTTGTATATATATATATATATATATATATATATATATATATATATATGTTTGGCAGTGATAAACTCAGACACCGCTGAACCGATTGCCACGAAACTTGGTACATACGTGTAGAATTTCATGGAATAGGTTTATACACCATCAATTTCGTGATCCGTCCAATCGGCTCCGCCCCAGTGGCTTTGGAGTTTCCCATGTTAACCTTATGAGAAATGGAATTAATGAATCTTAACAGCTGTTTCAATTAAACAAGTTGGTTCTGTTCTATGATGTTCAATAGCATTAAAGTTACAAGGATTACCAACAGGGTGCAGCACTATTATTTCTTTTACATTTATGACAACAGCTAATTTGCAACCAAAAGGTGAGTGAGCATAGCGAACGAACTTCAACCTGGAGGCGAGTTAGCGTAGTGAACGAGCTAAGCTGAAGGCAAGTGAGTGTAGCGAACGAGCTAACCTGAAGGCAAGTGAGCGCAGCGAACGAGCTCCAACCTAAAGGTGAGTGAGCGTAGCTAACGAGCTTCAACCTAAAGGTGAGTGAGCGTAGCGAACGAACTTCAACCAGAACGTGATAGAGCCATGCGAACGAGATCATCTTGAAAATTAAGAAGTTAAACGGGGCAAAGCCCGCGGGTTACAGCTAGTCTTCTATAAGTATAAAAGAGGATATTTGTATATATATATATTTGGCAGTGATAAACTCAGACACCGCTGAACCGATTGCCACGAAACTTGGTACATACGTGTAAAATATTATGGAATAGGTTTATACACCATCAATTTCGTGATCCGTCCAATCGGCTCCGCCCCAGTGGCTCTGGAGTTTCCCATGTTAACCTTATGAGAAATGGAATTAATGAATCTTAACAGCTGTTTCAATTAAACAAGTTGGTTCTGTTCCATGATGTTCAATAGCATTAAAATTACAAGGATTACCAACAGGGTGCAGCACTATTATTTCTTTTACATTTATGACAACAGCTAATTTGCAACCAAAAAGTGAGTGAGCATAGCGAATGAACTTCAACCTGGAGGCGAGTTAGCATAGTGAACGAGCTAACCTGAAGGCAAGTGAGTGTAGTAAACGAGCTAACCTGAAGGCAAGTGAGCGCAGCGAACGAGCTCCAACCTAAAGGTGAGTGAGCGTAGTGAACGAGCTCCAACCTAAAGGTGAGTGAGCGTAGCGAACGAACTTCAACCAGGACGTGATTGAGCCATGCGAACGAGATCATCTTGAAAATTAAGAAGTTAAACAGGGCAAAGCCCACGTTACAGCTAGTTCATTATATAGTACCAAAGTTGTTAGTTTATACATAATACTGCAAGAAATTGGTCTGTTTATTACTACTGTTGGAATTTTTTTTAATTGAAGAAATAAATCAGAAACTAATGAAAAATTTATAACATGTGTCAAAAAATGTCATACAAAATCTGTCTTATCTTACTAATTTTTTCTCGTACTAATACAATTTTTCTTGGATCTCAATTTTTATACCTTATCCTGGCTTCAAGGGGGGGGGGGGGGCAAGCCCCTCTCTGCGTGTGCCCATGCTTTCAGTGTTTCGCAAATGTATGTAATACAATTATGATTACATGTAAAATGTCTACAATTGATAGTTTTTTTGTTGTTTTTTTTTCAGATTCTAAAAGTTCCTGTCATGGTGAATTTTGAACTACGTAGATAAACAGGCCTATATATTCAATATTTTAAATTTTTAGAGCAACTAAATATAGTCTAGAATTTTCAGAAGTGTGAGAATTAATGCTCTGCAATTTGACAGATTGTGAAATGAAGTTATAAACGTAATTATTTTATTTATTTGATTATTTTAAGCTTGTACTCTTTTCAAGTACTGTATGTATTTTATGTTTATTGTATTCTCTGATCTATATTTTAATTCTTTTAACCATTATAATCCATGTATTCTTTTAACTTTTAACATATTTTTAATAAAAGTGATCTTTACCAAATTGATAGTGTCCAAATATATTTTTATTATTATCTTTTATGACAAAATTGCATACAATGTAACAAAATTACTGCTATAAGTAATAATATTAAATGTTGTTTGCTTTATAAGGTGTTTTAAAATTGCAAAACATTGATAAAAAAAAGTGTTTAACAAAAATATATGTTATAGGCCTATGTATTGTATTTGAATGGTGTTATTCAACCAAAAATATGATTTTCATTATTATGTAAGTTTTTACCATTAGTGTAAGTAATTTTGGGTATTGACATTTCTTGAAACAATCTTAAAACTCAATATAGTACCCTATTTTCATTAATGTAGATTGTATTACTTTTTATACTTTGAATAAAGAAGTCTAAAAGTTTGTACATCTTTTGTCTGAAGTCTTCCTATTGATATAGTTTTGGACCAATAGCTGGTTAAGGTAAAGGCGTTTGATGATGGACTCTAGCAGTATAAAACTAAATTAGTTTACTGAACTACTAACAAAGGATAATTTTCTGGGCAAGATAACTTAAACCATTTTAGCAGTTCTTCTCGGGTTGAGTTAAACCACCGACTAGGTAATAGTAAAACTTACTTTCCGATAATGTACCACGTTCAATTGGCCATACTCACCACTATCACCTTAATTTCAAGGCATGGATTATTATTTAAATTCAATTAAATTCAAAAGAAAATGAAATTCAATGAGCTATTGACGTAAGTAATCTAGTCTTACAATGGATTATTATTTTCTATTTTTTGCGAGTCAGTCCTTATTTGTCCCTTAAATCCTTAGGATCCTTAAATAAATCTCGGACCTGGGTTCTTGCAAGGATTTCAAATTGATTGCTGTATTCATATTGCCTGCATTATCTTAAGAACTTAAAAGAATGAATGAACTTAAATTCTGAATGAAAACAGTGTAAGTCTCAGTCTGGCTTTAGGGCATTTGACTAGCAATGGAACGTCACCAGGGTACGAGTCAGGCCCGGTCTGGCTCCACTGGAGGCCCTCGGCTAGATGGTGATTTGAGGCCCCCTACCGGAAATAAAACAAGGACCATGTGGTCTTCTCACGGCAACTAAAGTTAGCCTATGTTTGCTGCATGCGGCTAAGGTGGTTTTAAAAATTCCCTAACATTTTTAATAACTTTTGTAAAACTAACAATTGCTAAATTTCCATCAATAAAAAATCGTATTCATAAATTTATTCGTATAATAATAATAATATTATAAACTATTATAAAGTATAATAAATTTCTATTCGTGAATAGAAATACGAGCAAATTTTAATTGATTGATGCCTTAATTGGAATTTAATTTATGAATACAACGATTTTTAATTGATGGAAATTTAGCAATTGTTAGCTTAAAAAAAATATTAAAAATGTTAGGGCATTTTAAAAACCAACTAGAAAAGCCTAAAACAGGAGGGTAAAGGTGTTGAACTTTTCAAGGATTATACTCCTGGAAATAAAAGTATTATTAATGAAGAATGCTTGTCAGAATCCGAGTGGAAAGACAGTATAAAAATTATTGCAAATGTGGTCCCAGTGTGTGTCCTCCACAGCAGATGTCAGGGCAATAACCACTGCAGGCATGCCTGTGGTGAGATTGAAACCCTTGGCTTCTGTCCGTTTGGTGAACTTCTAAGAAACACCAGGCACCACAAAATAAGAAGTATTATAGTAAAAGCCTTCCAAAAAAGGTATAATACATAGGAAGTGCATGAAGAAGTACACTGTCTTCTAACTGATGCACCAGAAGAGTAGATATTTTATTGATCGAAAGAGAAACAAACAAAGGGATAATTCTCGATCCAAAAATTTGATTTAAAATAAATCTAAATCCACCTAATGAAGTAAATGAGAAGAGAAAAAAATTATGAATGTACCTTTGAATATTTTAAGCAAAATTTTAAAAATGGAGGTGATTGGATTGTTTATTGGTTCTAGAGGAACATTATCAAAATGTTTGTGAACTTTTGAAAACAATATGATTTGGACAGCTCCTTTTTGAAAATTATTCATGAAACATTAAGAGGTTCATTGACTATAATGAGAAATCATTTATATGGCAAACATCAAAATTAATCAGTCTCATAGCTGTTATAATCCTTCAATATTTTAGGCTAGGATTATACTAGGACGCTGGCGTCCAAGAGGCTAGCGTCGTACCGAAAATGACGTGGTTTGTGTTGGGATGCTAGCCTCAACTAACATTAGGTTTAACAAGTACCCAGGTTTGCTGTTTTAAGGAGGCTAATTAAGTGTTTGTAGTAAAATATTAATAGCTTAGTTTAAAACAAATTGGCCAAGTTTGATCAATATTATCTATACACAAGCAAATTCCAACAGTTAACAATATTTCTATAAGAATAACATGGGAATTTTTTATTTACACTTTTTTGAATTTTCTCTGTAACTAATAGTTGTAAAAAAACACTTTACTATACTAAATTATTCGTTTTTAAGCTCATTAAAATTGTCTAGAGAGAAATTGGGAAGTTTTGTGTTTTACGGGTCAAAAATGACAAAACCCCTTTTTTACCCCATAAAACCCCGATGCCAAGGTCCGTTGATGGTTCAACGAACACATTCAAGTTCATTCCCCTTCACCTTTAAGACAAATTTCATCAAAATTGGACAAAAATTACCCATGTTATCGCGTTTACAACTTTTTAAATCTACATGAACGGATGGTGTTTTTGGCCTCTGGGTACATCAAATCGAAAAAATAGATAGGTCCGGGTCCAGATCTTACCTGATCCAGGTCTTACCCGGACCTATGGTAATAGCGTATTCCCTATATTCGCGCACATGTTGAAAGAGAGCGTCTCGGATGCTATCCGCCTATTATAATGCGCCGCATTTGATCCTATGATGAACAATCGATTTTGTGCATCCCGGGAAGCAAAAAGTAGCCGTACGCTCAAATTTCAGCGTCCCTAGTCCCGGCACCCCTAGTCTAATTGCCCCCATTTGATTTAATGCCCCGCTAGAGTCCCGGATGACAGCGTCCTAGTAAAATCCTAGCCTTAAGTGTATATTTTTTCTGTGTCATTGGCAACCTTATTGTTTAAGCCAGACGTGTTTATTCTTATAAATAAACTAGCTGTAACCCGCGGGCTTTGCCCCAATTAACTTCTTAATTTTCAAGATTATCTCGTTCGCATGGCTCAATCACGTCCTGGTTGAAGTTTGTTCGCTACGCTCACTCACCTTTAGGTTGGAGCTCGTTCGCTACGCTCACTCACCTTTAGGTTGGAAAATTCTTTTCTTTCATCTGCTGATGAAGAATTATTTTGAATTTTAAAAATATTTTGGTGGTGCTTATGAAAAGATTGTCCACAATACTGAAAATATAAACTTTATTGTTAAAAATATATACTTTACACTGACAACAATGGATAAAATTGGCAGAAAGTTCACTGGATGAATTCATTGGTATATCATTTGCACTTTTGTAAGGATAACTAAAGAACTACTTCACAAAATAAATAAAAGACTATGAATTAATGGGAGTGAACACTTTTCATCATATACTATGAAATGTTAGAAATTAAAATTACATAACCTATAAACTACAGTACAAAATAACTTAAGAATAATAATTAAGTAGAAATGAAATGATGTTTTTGTTGGAGTCTTAGATGATCTTAAATTTTGAGATTCACATTCAACACTCTAAATAGGACAGAATCGACTCCATGATTAAATGATTCTAAAAATATGATTTCCAAATTCGCTTATTAATAAATAAACAGCACCTGTGAATCAGGATGAAAAATTTACCTAACGTACAAAACTCATTACATTCTCTGAAAGAGTAGAGTTCAGAGTTTAACATCCTTTACATTCTTAAAACTTTTCAAATTTATGGCGATTTCTTGAGTCTTGATAAGAAATATGATTTCCACAGGCTTTGCCCAATAACGTAAACAGTTTTGATGGCTTAGGGTTGTTTTCTTATTCAACCTTGAATGTGAAGAAAGCGTCAACAATGAAGACGATTCCCTGGACCAGAGCAAGCACAGACTTGGTTATACCCAGGTTGGCATGGCTGGTGTTGAACTTCCATCCGGAGAAGTGGTTGTAAGTGAACCACGCAGACAGGAGGTACAAGATGGCTCCAGCAACACAGAAAAACAGGTCCTGGAACATAGGTTTTTATATTTACGTTTGTACAGTACAGATGATTACTGTAAACAGAATCATACTCCGTTCACAAAATTTAGGCGGTTTGAGAGGAAGTTCCCTGACCAATGTTTTTTCTTACCTGGGACCAAGTGGAGGGTATAGATTTCTTCCCCTAAAACGGAGTAGGGCTGTGTATGGAGTATAAGACATTGTACAGTTTATATGTATCATATTTTAGCCTAATTGAACCAGGGTGTAGGATATAATTACCGAGTGAATATAATTTAACATGACTTATGTTCTAAATTAAATTAAGCCTACTTGTATTGTATTCATTAAGTTGAAATGCTTACCACTTAAACTGACCATTAATTAAACAAATCCGGATACCCGGCTGGGTACAATGTACTTATTCTACTACTCAAAACAGAAGTACTAAGTACTAAAACAGAAATACTAAAATTAGAAGTTTCAAGAAATGTTATGCATTTTTTATTGTTTTAAATATGTTTAAGCAGTTGTGCAATGAATGGCCAATGCAATAACTGTAGTTGAGCCTCTTGACTCTCTATTGTTGCCGCTCTAATATGTCAATGTGTTTTAGAAGTGTCGCTCCTGCTACCATTGGGGGCAAAAAAGCTCTCCGCTAGACTAGCCTCACTGCTCCACTATGTTTTCACCCTTCAAGGGAGAAAGCATAAGTAAGTTTATGGTAAAGGTACTCACCACAGACTTGTTGATGGAGTTGCCAGTGATGAAGCCAAGGAAGGTTCCTACCACGATGAGAGCGAAACCAGCGTATGTACCAGTGGTGATGAGGGCATTGAAGGGAACAGGCTCCTCAATAGTCTGGTAGTGGATGATCAAGATGGCGATGGCCAGTGCCTAAAACAAGACAAA